TAGTAAAGTGTTCGTTCAAGTGTTCAAGTCGTCAATGGGGATGTTGTTAATGGTGAGTTTAGATATAGGAAGAAAAGATGAATTGGAGTTCAGGGCTTGCTTTATCAGTTTCCATTGGTATTTGGGATCATTTTTAGAAATAGCAAAATTGATGACATAGAATTTGCGCTCAGTCTTTCTTTTTATTGAAGTGAAGAAGTTACGGAACTTTTTGTAAGCAGAGATGTTAGTATCGGTAGGAAATTTGATGCTTTTTATATATAATTTATATTTAGTTTTGGATAATTTGATGATATTTTTATTGATCCAACCTTTATGGCGTTTGTACTTAGAAGGTAGTTGTGGTGAGACAGCGTCTAGAATCCTGAAGAAAAGAAAGTAGAAATTTGTGCAACATTCGTTGATATCGGTTAGTGTAGTGACTGAAGACCAATCTTGATTAGATAAACAAAAGTTTATCTGCTCAAGTGATCTGTAGGAAAGATTTCTAGAAACTTTTGGAGGAGTAGTAGTATAATACATTTCAAAAGAAGAAGATGTGGTAAAAATAGGAAAGTGGGTTAGGGTTTAACTTTAACTGCCAAGATGAAAATCAGTTTCCATTGCTGATTTCTATTTAATGTTGTTCCGACAACATGGCCCCAAAATGGCTAGGTCAATTTATACATACATACATACATACATACATACATACATACATACATACATACATACATACATACATACATACATACATACATAAAAACAGACAGATACGTGCATAAATACGTACAGACATGCGTACAAAATACATACGCATACAAAGATGTTGGTAGATACATAATGAAATAAAAATATATAATGATACAATTCATGTATGCTCTCTTCTAAACTTTGTTTAAATTTTTAAATAGACTACTTAATAGACTAATTTAAATTTTTTAATTTTTAAAAAATATACATAAGTTAGTGTTGAGAATGTCGCTGGAGAGCACTTTACATGCATTCAATCGCACCTACTAAGACTCGGGAATGCTTACATCCAAAGATGCATTACAATCTACATCTATATTTTATATATACATGTGTGTGCATGTATTGGAAATATGTGTTCGTGTGTGTGTGTGTGTGTGTGTGTGTGTGTGTGTGTGTGTGTGTGTGTGTGTGTGTCCATCTGTCTGTATGTGTGTGTTTCTGTTTGTTGATCATACTTTCAAGTATTGTAATAAAAGATTTATAAAAAACATACACATCCCACTTACACATGCATGAATATATATATATATATATATGTGTGTGTGTGTTTGTGTGTGTGCGTGCGTGTGTATATGTATGTGTGTGTGTTTTTTGGATCTGTGTAGTATAAGTGTGAGCTGTGCGTATGCGCACAGTTACAAACACAACATGAACAACATGCAAACGCAAGAGTGAACAACCCTGACGTTTGATGGCGCCTAGTCCTGCTTCGCACCGACCCCATTTGGATACGAAAGAGGGATTCCCACCCAAGCATGATAGGCCTCGTGTATTGTGAGATGTTTAGCTCGTTATTCGTATGCGTTTGAACCTTAGCAAACTTCAAATTATCAAAGACAGCTCTCAAGTAATTCTGAAACATGTATAGGTTTGTTTAAGCTGAAAATTAACTTTACTCCTTGTTATTAATTTTTTTTAATTTTATAGAGAAAATAAAATTTCGTTTTGTTTCGTTTCGTTTACTAAAGTGTCAATTTTGAAATAACTATAACATGATAAATGAACGATGGCTCTGGTTAATTTGTTTGAAATAATTTATAGAAAAAAAACAAGAAGACCAGAAATGTCTCAAATGATCTTTTTAGTCTAAGAGCGAGGACATTTTTATACCAAACATCATCCGGAATTTCGTGTAAATGCACTAACAATATTAATTATTGTTTGTTTTTTGTTTCCTTGTTGTTTTTTTTTGTTGTTGCTAATGATAAAGTATCCGTTGATGGGTTTGTAAATGGAAATTTTTAAACTTGGAAAGGTGTCAGTTGTAAAAGATATGGATAATAAAAGTATGGATAATGTAAAGGCACAAAAAATAGCTTCGAAGTATTTACACATGGGAAAACCAAAAAGTAAAAATGAAGAAGTCGTTAAACGGCAATATGAAACAGAAACACTCAGAGTTAATAAAACACCGAAGAAGTAATTTGAGGAGAATAATAACAATTTCTGTGAGTAGCTGGATTAAAGAGTCTGCGATTTAGTGCAACAATGAGCAGGGGTAGCATTGTTTGAAAAATATCCACCTTAACTTACCTTACCACCTAATCAAATGAAAGTGAAAGTTAGGTTTGGCGCATCACTCATGGAAGATCAGAAAATTAATACATGAAATTTAATGTTAAGTCCTCAGGTCAGGGCAGCTAGAAAAGCTGTTTGGTCATTTTTCGACGGTGTCCTCTTTTAAAAATTTTTAATATATTTCTTGAGACAGTTAGAAAATGGTAAACACTCTATTTGTCGATAATCAAAATTTCATCGCATTTTTATAAATAACTCATTCAATAACTCACGCTTTGTTACTGTCTTGTGTTAGAATGGATGAAAAAACATTTAAATGAGTCTTCGTCTATGTCAAAATCATCAAAACGTTTACAATTTTAAAGAGTTTATTAAATTTTTTATAATATTTGAGATCGGCAAATAGGCTTAGCGTAGGGCCGCCAGTTATCCTCCAGGCCGACCCTGCTGCACGAGCCAATTGCTCAAGTCGTCCTACTTATAGAGCATACCCATGTAGGCCTACATTGTGAATGCATGCCACACAAACGGGAGAGACACCCAGCAAATTCTTACTTCGAAAATATGTTAGAACAGGGTCATAAAAATACCAACATGTCAATAAATAAAAAAGTGAACCAAAACAGAGCAGCGAAATTATCGGAAGAACATATATGACTGGATGTTATCGATTGGCGACGGTGACTTACATGCTTGCGTGTGTGTGTTTTTTGTGCGAGCGAGTTTGCCCGTGTTTGCATCATGCATCAAGTTTGATCTTTTACCATTGCCACACAAACAGGCATTTACTATCAGCTGCTCGTCTTTCCAAATACATTCTTGCATTTACTATTCAATTCTTTGTTGATAAACTATTTTTTATTTTGTTCCTTGAGTAATGCGTACCCAACCCACCGACACCTCCATTCAGTTTCACAACTTTGACGGGTTACGTGGTAGATAATTTCGTTGGCGAATAATTTATTTTTCAAAATGATCTGCAGATCTAATTTTGTAGAGTTGTTTTTTCTTTGTAAATAAACTTCTTAGTTACAGTGCTGAAATATTTACTTAAATTTTGCAATTTGAATGTAAAAATTCTGATCCGATCCCATTAGTTAAAGTTATAAACATTTTTCTATTTCATTTATATACAATCTCTCATTCTTTTAACAAATAAATAAATGCAGTGTGTTTTAAAAACATTTGTTAGCACCCAACGGCTCCGCGCGATGTTCGACTGACAAAACATCCTTCGCCATACCATTTTGTTGATGCGGGTGTAGGGACTGTATTAGATATTGTCTATTTTTTTCATGCTAATAATAATAATAACAATAATAATAATAATAATAAAATACTTGAGTGAGCAAACTACAAACCGGGATACATTCGCATTCGAACCCGGCTCTTGCGGCAAAGGTCAGGTGCTATATTGATTAAACAAAAATATATAGAGACACACGACAGCGTGTATTTTAGCGGCATTACAAATCTGTAAACATGGGTGTATTTATAAATAAAGTCATAATTGAAAAGAATAGGTATACACACACAACGGCGTATGAGGAGGGGTGCCGGTGGTCCATGGTCTGACCCTCCGTTGTGAGCAGATTTTTCATAAAAATTTAGTCCAACTCATTGTTTGAACAGAAAAAAGCACCCTTTCATGTCTAAAAACGACCAAAAACTCACTGATAGGCAGAAAAAAAGATCGCTAGCCTAATTTTGGCTGCCACAAATCCCCCCCCCGTCAAAATTTTGGCCCCCGTCAAAATGTAAACATTTTCAAAATTTTGTACACATGAATAAACAATAAGAAACTAAGAACAGTACATAAGAATAAACAACTGCAACCCTGATGAATGTACAACAATTAATCCAATCAATCAACAGTGATAACAAACAACAAACAAACAACAAACGAATCACCAGCAAACAACAAACAACAAACAAACAAACATCACCAGCAAACAACAAACAAACAAACATCACCAGCAAACAATAAACATCACCAGCAAACAACAAACATCACCAGCAAACAACAAACAACAAACAGCACCGACAACAACGAACGCAACACGGCCTGAGCCTATTAAATTTAATAATAAGAAACGCTCGTCTTATTCTTAAAACGGGATCATAGGATTGAAAATAAAATTTTCACTGACACCAGTCTGTATCCCGTGATACCATACGCGCCAGTCAATAAATGTATCATACACATAGATACCACATTGAATTAACAGTACCTACCTAACATCCATGTGTTGTTTGTGTATTGTGTGTTGTATATGTATGTACGTACATATACAAATGTTATGGTCATTTGGTCAGATAATATAAATGCTAGGTCACATCGCACACCATCTATATTGGTAGATATGGACAAGAAATGTATGTCATGTCTATATTTAAATTTAATTTGAACACCGAATGTGGTATAGGAATACCAAAAAAAGCTTTTTCTGTTCTATTATGCATGAAATAAACAAAAATTTTGGTTTTGAACTAAAGAAACTTGAAAATGATTTACGATCAACCGTTAGAAAAATCGAAAAGTTAAATTTGAAGTTAAATATCGCTGAACATGCCTGATTTTCATCAATAATTGCATTTCTGACAGTCTTGATCCAATATAAATACATATATACAAACAAACATACCAACATACATACATACATACAAACAAACAAACAAACAATGTTTATAAACTATTTACAGACTTTTACATTTTAGCATGTGTTTGTTTGTGTCAACCTTTGCAAATGCGCAACAGGTATGTATAGAATTTGAATATATCATACAAAAAACAAATGATCTTAAATAACACACACAAACAAACCACACAAACACACACATACAAATGTTACACATACAAATGAATGTTACACATACAAATGCTACACACACACACACACACACACACACACACACAGATGTTACACACACAGGAAGATGTTACACACACACACACGCACACACACACACACACATAAACAAACAAACACATTTATATATATGTTTATAAATATATGAACTTCATTAAATATTTTTGCCCATTATGCGTTGATTAGTTTTTCACCATTAGATTCAACATTTCGTATTTGGGTTAATTCTTAAATAATTAAAAATTAAATTTTCATTAAATAATTAAAAATATTTAATGAAGTTTGTATCACTGAAAACCTCGTACCAAAATTTATAAATATATAAATATATAAATGGCATTGATGGCAAGTCGAAAATTTACACAATGGTTAAAAAGCATAAATAAATGGAAGATGTAATGTGTGTGGTGCTACTGACCTGATAAGGTACGCAATAGTGTACTGTACATCTGTCGAAGTAGTTCATGCAATCTATATTTGTTTTATTTGATAATTTTATTTACAAATATACATATATATATATATATATATATATATATATATATATATATGAATGTTACACACACACACACACAGATGTTACACACGCAGGAAGATGTCACACACATACACACACACATAAACAAACACACCTATATATATATATATATATATATATATAATAAATATAAATATATATTTATTTATACCTTTTTTGCGATTGCGTGCATGTTATTCCCCTTCCCTTATCTCTCAAAAGCAATCAGTCTCAAACACACAACGGACGCCTAACGAACGTCGCTTGTGGCGGTCATGGATCTTTCTGCGTTTGAACCCGGTCAGCGTAACAGTAAAAAAAAGCATACATAAACACATAATGGAGTGAATTATCAAAAACATTTAAATAGTAAGAACTCTTAACTACTGAATTGATTAAATCAATAACCCCCATTTCTCTTTTTTCTCTTTCTCTCTCTTCACTCTCTCACTCTTTCCTCCTCACCCTCCATTAATTTCTTAAAAACATTACTCTGTTCTATTTAATTAATTCTCCTCTTGTTTAAAATACCTTCCATTCCTCCTTTGCCTCTTTGTCTCTGTCCAATTTTTTTTTCATTCCGTTATTTTAAGATTCTTCTTTCTCTATTTCTAAAAAATACAACATAAAATTTTATTAAATTATTCGATAATTTTATTTGTTTATTCACATTGTGCAAGTAAAAACGAGAGTTTTTACTTTTGAAAGTTCGAGAGTTTTGCATGTGATATGCGCAGATCTCTTTGCAATCGAACCCTGTCACAGCAATAGCAGTGCCAGGCCCTTCACTGCTACACCATCGCGACGCCCAAATTTATTTATTCATTCATTCGTTTGTTCGTTCGTTCAATCATCCGATCATTTAATAATCCTGTCCTTAAATTATACAAATTTTCAATCACATTTTGATTTTTCATCCATTTATTTATTATTTTTTTTCTAATATGCACACACACACATACATACACACACACGCGCGCACACATACAAACATACATACACATACAAATATATAAACATTCATACAGAATTTTTCAATCATTTTGGCGTTTCTGTCTCATCATTCCGTTTCTAATTTATTTCATTTCCTTCCTTTCTTCATTTTCTTAGTTTTTTTATCTTTAATGTTATTTGAATTTTCTCTTTTTCTCTCTCTCTCTTTCTCTCTGTTCAGTCAGTAAGCAGCAGACGCAAGAAGATGACTCCTTCCCTAATCGTCTAGACCGCCCTGATGATGCACGTGACGTCTGTCAGATGTCTCGAATGAATGACTAGACGAGAATGCCGAGAATACTAAGAATGATGACGAAAATGATAACGATAGCAATAATAATAATCAGTATTATTATAACTTGTTAATTATTATTATTATTGTCCTTATTCTTATTATTAATGTTACTATTTTATTAATATTAATATTATTATTTTTAATATTATCACTGGAAAATACCTCATTCAACAGTTACCAAGAAAGGCCACCCTACCCAGATGCGGTGATGCAACTAACGTATCCTAACGAACACGTCCTATCAAGTTGTGGCTCAACCCCTGCCATCTTAATAAAAATAAATTTAAAGATAAATTTAAAGATGCTTGAATCGTCATAACAAAACCCTCTCAATAATTATTGACAACATCGTGACGAACACACGGACAGCTGGGTATTGAAATTTTCGCAGATGTGGAAAACATCCAACAACAGACCTGTTCAAAACGCTCTGACCCGACATCGCCGACCGCAACAAAAATGCCATCGAAGTACTCGAACCGATCGTCTGCCATGAAACCACCTTTAATTTATTTTTTAATTTATTTATTAATTTACAATTTATATTTACAGTTTATTATTTGCATTATCCTCTTTCAAGGCTATTGTACGTATCATTACTTCTACAATTACTACTACTACTACAACAGTTGTAGTAGTTGTTGTTGTTGTAGTAGTGGTGGCGGTAGTAGTAGTAGTAGTGGTGGTGGTGGTAGTAGTAGTAGTAGTTGTTGTTGTAGTAGTGGTGGTGGTAGTAGTAGTAGTGGTGGTGGTAGTAGTAGTAGTAATAGTAGTAGTAGTAGTAGTAGTAGTAGTAGTAGTAGTAGTAGTAGTAGTAGTAGTAGTAGTAGTGGTAGTGATAGCAGTGGTGGTAGTAGTATTAGTAGAGATAATATCATACAAAACGACTTTTACAACTAATATTACATATACTGAATATTTCATGTATACTAAAACAACAAAATTATAAAGCGAAAGGAACAACAAACTGACAACAACATCATCAACAACATCAACAACAACATCAACAACAACATCAACAACAACATCAACAACAACATCAACAACAACATCAACAACATCAACAACGACATCAACAACAACATCATCAACAACATCAACAACAACATCAACAACAACATCAACAACAACATCAACAACAACATCAACAACAACATCAACAACAACATCAACAACATCAACAACGACATCAACAACGACATCAACAACAACATCAACAACAACATCAACAACATCAACAACGACATCAACAACGACATCAACAACAACATCATCAACAACATCAACAACAACATCAACAACAACATCAACAACAACATCAACAACAACATCAACAACAACATCAACAACAACATCAACAACATCAACAACGACATCAACAACGACATCAACAACAACATCATCAACAACATCAACAACAACATCAACAACAACATCAACAACAACATCAACAACAACATCAACAACAACATCAACAACATCAACAACAACATCAACAACGACATCAACAACGACATCAACATCAGCATAAAAAAAAATTGTATTCGACGACTAGAACAACCACAATCAGAAAAATTGAGATGTTGGAGATGAGGCACTGCTGAAAATTCTGTGATTTCCATGATTATATAGGCGCACAGAAGCGTGTCTGTGTGTGTGTGTGTGTGTGTGTGTGTATTCATATCATAAAATAATAATTAAATAATTAATGTGACTAATTAATTAAATAACAATAACTTTACTGTTATTATTGTGGCGATTCTCTCTCATTAAATATTATTCTTTGGAGGCATCAGTAACACACCGGAGCCTATGCATCAATCACATTTCACCACCATTGTAACACCAGCTTCAAAAGCCTCGACTATCACGATATCAAAAGGACATCACGCTGTCCTACAATGTTATAAATTCACTTTTTAACCTCTATTGACATGTTCATACCTATCTTTAACACATTTTCATGTCTTTGCCTATGTAAATTTCACAGGCTTCAAAATATTTTTTATAAAAATTTATTTTTGACTACTCTGCCTGCACTCAAAAATACAACCATTTAAATGTGAGAATGTAAGTTGAGGTGTCTTCTTTGAAGACATTGAAGAATGTTACCGGCGAGCATTTATTAACTAAATTATCCAAGTGGGTATATATAGATCTGTGTGTTTGAGAAATAAACCGTAGGCGCGTGCGTGTGTTGTGTGGTGTGTGTTTGTGTGTGTCTGTGTGGTGTGTGTGTCCGTGTGCGTACGTGTGTGCGTACGTGTGTGTGTGTGTGTGTGTCTGTGTGTGTGTGTGTGTCTGTGTGTGTGTGGTGTGTGTGTGTGTGTGTGTGTGTGTGTGTGTGTGTGTGTGTGTGTGTGTGTGTGTGTGTGTGAGGTATAGGGGTGATAAATGTAGTGTGTAATAAATATGAAGAAATGCTTACATAAAATATAATGAATGGAAAGATAGGCAGGCACAAATTTTCCATTTGAAGGTAAAAAGAAAGAAAAAAGTCTGAAATGAAATTATTCTGCATTAAATTTTTCCGCCATTGTTTCTTGCAGTCACGATAAAATAATTAAAATTTAAAAACATTTTGGCTGAATATTTATTCGTTGTAAATCATTTTTTAAATTAAAAATTTTTTTTTTATATTACAATGCATCAGAGAATTGATCAGCTATTAATTTGTTCATCATTCATTCATTTACTCATTCATTTATTTATTTATTCATTCGTTCATTTGTTCGATCGTTCATTCATTCACTCGTTCGTTCGTTCGTTCGTTCGTTCGTTCATTCATTCATCATTCCATCCGTTATTCCATTTGCACTCATTTTTTAAGCTTCCACCATTCATAAAAAAACTACAAAAAGATTATTTTAACGAGTGCGACTCGAGTACAAATAACTGTATCTTAACACGCTACTATGACAGTGTGTGTGTGTGTGTGTGTGTGTGTGTGGGTACGTGTGTGGGTGCGTGTGTGTGTGTGTGTGTGTGTGTGGGTGGGTGGGTGCGTGTGTGTGTGTGTGTGTCTGTGTGTGTCTGTGTGTGTGTGTGTGACGCAAATTATCTCGTGCTTTGGTGTGGAGGAATGAATTCAGTCCAACACTTCAACTTCGAACTTAAAATGGCGTGAAAAAAGTTTTTATAAAAATTAAACGATTTACAAATTTTAACTTCTGTGGTACGATTAATATAATGATTCAGTGCCAAATAGCTTGAAACTTAAAACATCCGATTCCGCTTGCAAATTCTCAAAAAAGATTTAATTAAATGGTTTTCTTAACATAATATACCAATTATAAACATTTCAAACGTGATTCTAACAATCAGAAAATTTAGATTTTTATTGGAATAAATATATACAAAGAAGGTTTGACAGACTATTTCCATATGTGTTAAAATCTTGAAGTGCCTGATAAGTTCGAAATATATTTTTTAGCTCGAAGGAGTGGTCAATGTTGGTGCCAGACGGCGTTCAAACATTGCGGCAGATGATGGTGCTCGATGGTGCTTATTGTGCAGTGGCGGATCAAGACAACTTTGACGAGAGGCCAAGAGTTGGAAAATGTTTAAATTTTCACGGAGGGAGGCCAAGATTTGTGGCAATGCGGCTGACAACCTTTTTTCGCTTATCACGTTCAATTTTTGGTCGATTTTACACATAAAACAGTTTTTTATCTAACTTTTATTAAAAACTTGGTTGGTTGGTTGGTTGGCTGGCTGGTTGGCTGGCTGGCTGGCTGGCTGGCTGGCTGGCTGGCTGGCTGACTGGCTAGCTGGCTGGCTGGCTGGCTGGCTGGTTGGTTGGTTGGTTGGTTGGTTGGTTGGTTGGTTGGTTGGTTGGTTGGTTGGTTGGTTGGTTGGTTGGTTG